TTCCACCCAGCCCTCCGCCCCACCCCCCACCGGACGCCTCCCCGACCGTCCACCCCCAGCCCTCGACCAACCACCTCGAACGCCAGACCCTGGCCCTTCCCCTCCAGAACCCCGACCCGCCGCCAGGAGCCCACCCTCACCCTCTGCAGCTGGGCCACGACCCAACCCCGGGTTTGTCCCGGACCCCCCTCCTTGCGGCGTCTCCCCCGGCCCTCCCAGCACCCCCGCCTGTCCCGAGCAGCTGTGAAGGCGCGCGCGCGAGTTGCGTCTTTGTGCAGTGCCCGCTGTGTCCAGCCCTAAAGCAAGGTCGCCATAGAGCAGGTTCGGGATCCCAAACTCAGAGACCTTTCGCCACCTGTTGGATGTGGCCTCTTCCACGTGGCACAAAGCACACAGGAAACAACGGGGAAGGGCGGGAGGTGGGAAGGTAACCAGCCCGTCCTGAAGTCACTGTGGACGCGAGGCCTCAGTCGGGGTCCCTGCTCAGAGCTTCCTGCTCTTTTACGTTCGAGCAGTGAAGTTCCTTCCTGAGGTCAACCCCGCAGAGCCTGCGCGTGGAGGTGGTCATAGAGGGGTCAGTGCCCGGGGAGACTGGCGCTTTGCTGCAAAAATCCTCTTTTTTAAAAAAAAAAATTATTTTTAAAAGAGGGACAGAATGTGAGCAGGGGAGGGGCAGGGAGAAAGGGAGACACAGAATCTGAAGCAGCTCCAGGCTCTGAGCTGTCAGCACAGAGCCCGACGCAGGGCTCGAACCCACGAACTGTGAGATCATGACCTGAGCGGAAGTCGGCGGCTTAACCGACTGAGCCACCCAGGCATCCTCCACCCTCCTTTTTTTTTTTTCCTCTATTGAGCAAGACATCTGGAGAGAGCGAGCAGGCTCCCGTGCCCAAGAGGGGGAGGGAAACAGGGCGAGGGAGGGAGAGACTCTTGCGCAGGCTTCAGGCTCAGCTTGCATTCCCAGCAAGGCTTAACCTCATGATGGTGAAATCGCTGTCTGAGTGGAAATCAAGAGTCAGAGGCTTACCTGACTGCGCCCCCCAGGTGCCCCCCAAGTCCTCTCTTTTTAAAGGGATGTGATCAGTCCTGGCCTTTGCAGTCCTCTTGGTTTCTGTGGTTCTGACTGTGTCACCCGCTGATGCTGGTCTGGGCGCTGTCTGGTCTGGGCTGCAGTGTCATTGCTTGACGAGAACGGCCGTGTGACTCTACACCCCTCCTCTCCATGCCCTTCCCTTCTGCATCCAAAGATCGACAGTGAGATCTGGAGGAAATAGTTGGTTCTGAGGAGCCCGAACAACAATTTGGATTCAAGGAACTTTGTATACAGGAGCGCTATAATGATGGCGTTCATGGAGTTTTACTAAGTTCCTGGCACCCCTGTTTCTGTTTAATCCTCACAAATGGGTAGTATCCCATTTTACGGTTTAGGAAACAGGTTCAGAGGGGCCAGATGACTTTCCAAGGTTGTCCAGTAAGTGGGGAGTCTGGACTTGAGTTGGGGCCTGGCCAGCCTGTGGAGGGCCGTAAGTGATGGTTACTTTGAGCTTTTTCCTAACTCTGGAGTCTTCTTATGGCTCTCTCAGTCCAGATTTCCTTTCTGAGCCCAGAAACCATTCTTGGGTTGAAAGATGATGTTTGCCCGAAGAAAGTAACTTATTTGACAGACCTTGAGTAGGAAACGGAAGTATGTGTTTTCCTGGCACTCCAAATCTGGAGTATAATTATGATGGAACTGTGGTGAAATTTCTGTTACTTTATAAAAATAACTACTGTTTAATGTTGTCTTTGCACTTAGTATATGTGAAAAAACACGTGAGCTTGGAAATGTGCACATAATTGAGGATTTCCTTGCCACTTCTGTGTAATATATTACCTCATTCACACTTATTCTGTTATCAAAAAGACATTGAAAAGATAATTATTATAAACATTCCTTGCATTCCTATCCTAATCTTCACTCATTTATCACCTTACTAGGCCCACCATCAGTTGGTTTCACCTTTTAACTGGTGATTATGTGAAGGGTTGCTCAATTATATTTTGTACTTACAACAGTGTAATGTTTTGAATGAGTATTTATATAAAATACTACAGTCAGCCTGAACGACTTGCCCATTACCATTCAAGATCCTGTTGAACTGTTGTTTTGAACTTTTTAAAACTAGTGCCAAATATAAGTTTCAAAATGATCTGATTTCTTACCATAATTCAACAATAGATATTGTGATTAACAACAAATCTTAAGGTTATTGTGAAAATGCCTCCACAAATTCCTCTTGTCCCCATGCCCTGGAGGCTCCCTCTTGAGAATCGCTGGTAACCCAGAGACTTTGCTTAGAACCATAGGAAGCCAGTCATGGATTATTGCAGCATTGCCTTTAATATAATCTCTCTACAACAAAGATTTCTGGTTTACTTTTTGGTGAATTTTACATGAGCTGTTCACATTCTCCTTCTATACAGAGGCTAAAACTCAGGATAATTCCCAAGACAAATTTAATAAGTGGTATTTCATTTATATTTTTGAATGCTTCTTTTAATAAATAATCTGAAAGAATTACTGACACATTTAGGTAGATTTTCTAACCCAACTGATAATTTTCTGTTATATTCATTTTCTCTTAAACTTCAATTTATTGCTGGTTAGTCACACTTTTTGCAATAATTTCCTGTTGTTGCCACCTGTCAAAATTTGACATGTTCTTGTTTGTTTTTAGTAAATCTAATGTTGGCTTTTTATGGTAGTGGGAAAAATTTCATCTTTGATTTTAACCTTGATGTTTGCCACTCAAATTTAGCAAATAGTTTTTACAGATACATAGTGTTAGAAGCAAAAGGAGGTATGTATTCTAAGAGCTTCTGCTCCCAAGGTATAGGGAGTATAACAAAATACAGTAACTGAAATAGGAGGCCGAATAACACTGTTTATGTAACTTTAAACAAGGAAAACACTAGATCTGGTTTGGGGAGGTACAGACAAGAAGAGATCATGATTAGGGAAGATTTTCTAGAGGAATTATCATTTGAGCTGGCTCAAAGAGTAAAGAGTATTTTTCCAGAGGTTTGGGAAGCTCAATCGGTGAAACAGCTAATAGTCCAAATTGGCAGGAATGTAGTGCCTGTGCAGGGAGCTGTGGGATAGAACATCAGAGTCCTATTGGGTAAGTCCTTGCCAGGGTGATAAATTTAACTTTACGGAAAAAATGGTAGACTTTGAAGTGTATTTAGCAGGGAAGTACTACAAGCGTACCTGAGTCCTCTCCACATCTGTTTTAAATCCCGCCCCCTTTTATTCTGTATATCTTTCTCATTGGATTTTATCTTCCTTATTGGGTAATTTTCATTGGTATTAATACATGCCTTATTATCACTCTCATAGAGGGTAGATAGCTGTATGAAAAGGAAGTATAGTACAATGTTAATTGTAGAATTTAGTGGTAAACATGTGGGTGTTTTCTATGAAATTCTTTCACCTTTCTTGTATATTTGAAAATTTTTTAGGGTTTCCTGGGTGGCTCAGTCAGTTAAGCATCTGACTCTTGATTTTGGTTCAGGTCATGATCTCACTGTAGTGGGGTTGCACTTAGGGCTCAGCATGGAGCATGGAGCCTGCTTGGGATTCTCTCTCCCCCTCTGGCCTCCTCCCCCACTTGTACACTCTCTTTCTCTCTCTGAAAATAAAAAGAAAAATTTTATGATGAAATGCTTGGGGGAAAATCCTTTG